GGGGTCGGGGCGAAGGGGGCGCGTGGGCTGGTGGGCGGGGTGATGCGGAGGTGGCGCGCGGGATAGGGAGAGGGAGCGGTGCCGTGCCGAAATAAATGGGTCGGGGCGGACGGGGCCTGCTGGCTGGTGGGTGGGGTGATGCAGAGGGGGCGCGCGGGATGGGAGGGGGGCGGTGCTGCGCCGAAGTAAGAAGGTCGGGGCGGAGGGGACGTGCTGGCTGGTGAGTGGGGTGATGCAGAGCGGGCGCTCGGGATGTGGGGGCTGTGCCGTGCCAAAGTGCAAAAGTCGGGGCGAGGGGGCGCGTTGGCTGGTGAGCGGGGTGATGGATTCGGAGGAGGCGTGCGGGACGGCGGGGGAGGGGGGGAGGGGGCGCGCTGGCTGGTGGGTGGGGTGATGGGGGGAGGGCGTGCGGGATGGGGGGGGGAGGGGGGGGCGCGCTGGCTGGTGGGTGAGGCGGGCGGGGTGATGCGGAAGTGGCGCGCGAGATGGGGGTCGGTGCCGTGCCGAGAGAAAGTCGCTGGAGCTCTAGACACCTTGTGCAAGATACAATTGTGTATTTTGTGGCACTTGGCCGGGGAAGCTGGAGACCAAATCGTGCGCAGTGTTTTCAAGTCGTGCATTGCTGCTCCAAGTCTGCGGCTTTTTGTTCAGATGCGCATCTCCCGTCGGCGGACAGCGACGTGCCGAGGTAGACGAGGGACTGCTTTTCGAGGATGCGAGTGCCAGCGTTGTTCTCCGCCCGCAACTTCATTAGCTCCAGTTCCGTTCAGTTGAGCAGGAGGCCGCAGTCCGCCCCCAATTTTTTCAGTGTAACTCATCAGTTTTTGGACTGCCCCAGCGCCGGCGCCCAACAACAAGGTGTCGTCCGTGCACGCCAGATCCAAGTCCAGCTTTGGAACCTGGTCGCCTCGTCGTTCCCACAGTTCCTTGTGTCATGAAAATGCGTTGTCACCGCGATGATGAACAAGAGTGACGACAGTCGTTGTCATCACTATGATGATGAATCGTTGTCACTGCGATGATGAAGCATTGTCATCTCGATTTTGAAGGCATATACCGTATTGTTGCACCCTCTCTTGTGACGGGACGCCGAAATCGTTGACCACGAGACTTCGGCTTTCGTGCAATGACCATGTTCACAAATCAGTTTTGTCTTCCAAAATTTCGTAGAGAATTCGCAAGTGTTTCCAGAGATGCAGAATCGAAGGCTTTCGTCGCCCAGTGTAACGCCAAGAAGACAGTCTCGCCATCTCGAGCAGACCACGTTGTTTAGAGAACCTGGTGGGCGATGAAGATCGCATCTGCTGTGCGCAGTCAGATCGGAATCCAAACTGCGTGTTCCTTATGCGCTGCTCCGCGCCAGCGTTGATCATGCGCTGCAGCAGCACGAGCGAAAGAATCTTGTACCCGATCGGCAGTCGGCTGATCGGGCGGTGCTTGTAACAGTCCGCAGGGGTCGCTCTTTTTGTAGATCATTCTCACCGTCGATTTGTGCCGCCCCGTCTCCCCTACAATATGGTAGAAGCGAAGGATCTGCTCAAGCGCCGGGGTGCAGTCCTCGAATGCTGCTCGCCAGAACTCCGGCGGTACGTTGTCCATGCCTTCAGCACTGCCTTGTCTGAGTTTATGTGGTGCTTTGCTCACTTCTGCGTCTGCCATGGCACCAAGGACGATCAGCAGCTCATTCTCGTGCAGAGCGGCCATTGGCATGCTGTCGTAGGACTTATGGCTCACTGCACCCTCTCTACGCTTGCCACCAGAGTATATTCCCTGTCGTCGCTGTCCACGAGCTTGTCGGCGCCATTCTTGAGTCTACCCTGTTGCGGGGTGAATCCTTTCCGGAGCTTTCTGAGCTCGCCCCAGTCTCCTTTGGCTGTCAACTCCTGCAGCCATGGCGTCCTTGTCACTTACGATTGCTTTCTGATCTCCTTCGCCAAAAAGCTTCTCTTCGGTCCTGTCTCCCTTTCGTCTGGCAGCCGCTCGACGATCCATGATACCCAATTTTTGTTCCGAAGCGCACAGGACTCCATTTGCGAGCTGGCTCTACGCTAAGCTCACGCCGTCGTGCTCCAGCTTTGCACCGGCAAACTTCTCCAGCGCGTCGGCAAGCTGATGCGTGAAGTCATGCTTGATGCTGGCAGATTTCAGCTGTGATGCGTCTACCCTACCAGCCTCGCTTCTGGGAAGGGCCTTGTCCACTGTCGCACGGACGTGCGCCTCGAGCAAGAAATGGTGCGATGAAAGTGGCCTGTCCCAGCGGACGCTCACAAAGAGCACGTTATGAGACCAAGAGTGGGCACACTGCATAAAATCAATCTTGGAATGAATGCTCCAAGTCACTGTTTCGCCTGCGAGGCGTCCCACATGGTAGCTTCTGGCCAATTGTCCTTGTGTAGACTGGAGGAATGTGTTCGAAATGCGCGTACCCAGCTGCGTGCACATTTCCCCCAGGAGGTGTCAATTCGCGTCGGATTGGCAGGTTTGTCCGGGCTGCTAGAATACATGTTGCCCCATGACGTGCGTTTAGTATATGTGTAGTAGAGCTTGGCATTGAAGTCTCCAAGGAATGACTCATGTTGGACCGAGCGAGGATGGACGTTGAACGAACTCCCCAAGATCATGGTACCTCATTGCCGCTATGGAATCTCATACCCGCTGTGCGGCGCATGCGTTTAACAGATCACCGCCTTCCCACCCGACACACGCAGCTTCAATGAAGTCATTCGGTCAGAGGCCTGGCAGAATCCGACAACAGACTGCCTGAAGCTGGGGCTCACGACAAAACCAACTCGGGCCTTGTTCTCTCCCTCCGCAGTGGTCGCGCCGCCGTGGAGCACGACCGGGTACCCTGGTGTCCGTCACGAACGTGTCTGACTTGGGATTCCGAGTCTCTTGGATTCATAAGCCCGCGCTGTGACCTCTCGCTCTACCTGCTTGGCTTCCGTGTAACCACCCTTCTATGTTCCATGCTACTCTGTTGATTTGTTCATTTCGGACGGGTCTTAAACGACGACCCCGCCAAAAATTGAGTGGCAACGCGGCTTCGCTATTCCGTGACTTCTGACATATGGAGAAGCGAGATTCTGAACGGGAAGGTTGACATTTAGTCCAGAACCTCCGCTAGGTCCACATTCGTGAGATTTGACGTCGAGCTCCTCGCCCGTGGTAGTCACTTCACGGCCACGTCTGCCCCTACCCACACACTGTTCGAGGCGAAGCCCCATCATTTCAGGATGCACTTGGCCCCGAAACCAATGTATTGGATACTTTGCTTCTCGAGAGTCTGGTCCGATTTAGCCCAAGCGGTGTTCCCACCTTCCTGGAACGATGTTTTCCTTATGTTTTTGACGGTCTCGTCACGGTCGGCGGTGTTTGCAAATTTCGCGAACCAGATGCCACGGCTTTACCCTTGAGTCGGGCCTGTCCCCTTCGACGAAAAATTAAGAATACCCCAAAAATAGTCCAAGAATAGTCAAAGACTGGTCTGGGGACTATGTTTTGAATATTTTGTCATATTTGTTGGGGGTACTTTTGGGGTATTTCTTATGTTTCGTCGAAAATCCCCCTGCAGGGGGACACGCCCGACATAACTTTACCCTTTCGAGTACGTGTCAATTGGCTGCTCTTTGCACAATTCCCAGGCTTGCGCCTCGACGTAGGCGGTCGCGCCCTCAATGCTGTCGAAGGTCTGCAAACCTCCAATCACGGCAGTACGTATCATTGTTGGAGTCGTCGGTGTTCTTCGTTGTGCTTACCGCCTTCATCTCCACATGATCTGTTCTTCGAAGGCTCGGGGCTGTTGCCGCGCCTCTTCATCAGTCTTGGGGGTGGAGTACAAGCCCTCGGGTGACTGGCTCTCTTTCGGATGCCATGCGTATCTCGAGGCGGTCGAGACGCTATTCCGTTGGACGCATCCTTGTTGAACGCGCCGCCCAACCAGGCGCGACCGCCCTGATTCAATTGAACGCACCTGAGGGGGCAGACACCGCCGCCCCATGTTTTTTTCGGACACGTGGAGACTTTGGGAGGCTTGGTGGAGGAAGAGAAGGGCAATTGAAACAGCTCCAGAGGGCGAAAGGGGGGTCCAAGACTGCTCCATATGGCCCCCCAAAAAAACGCCAAAAGAGGGCCAGGGCTCCCAAAGGTGTCGTTGGCTGACGAAGCCGAAGAGGGATACGGAGAGGTGACAGGGAGCTAAACGAGTTAGTTTTTTGGCATCAGAAGGCCCTCCAGGGACCCCCTGGGTGTGCCAAAGACGGCTCGAGAGGGATCCAAAAGGACGGCCACACGGCCCAAGATAGGACCGTGAGACCATCAGGACGGCTGGAGAGGCCGTGGAGATATTTCAACGTGGCCAGAAGGGCCCCAAGCGTGCCACAAGAAACTCCACGAGAGCTTCAAGAGAGCCCCAAGGGATTTCAAGAGTGCCCAGGAGGGCTTCTGGAGGTCCCAAACGGCGCCTGGAGGCGTCCACCAGAAGTCTGCCGTGCGAAGGCGTGCCTCTGTGAGGGGCAGAATGGCGGCCAGCGGACGCCCGTTGTGCAGCCGAGGCCCCAGGCCGGCGGAATGAGGAGTCCGCGGGGAGGACCCCAGGAGGCGCTGCGAGGGCTCTTCGGAGAGGCGTGGGTACGAGGACAGCGTGGGTAAGACGACTGAGGGGAAGCAGTCCTTGCAGACCAGGCGGCGGAGATCCCACACGCCGTACCTGGTGGGGCGGCGGATCGCTTCGCTCACTCCGCCGGCTCATATTGCATCACTGCTGCTCTGTTGGAGTTTTCGCGGCGAGCGAGAAGGAGGAGGAGGATGAGGAGGCTTCTCGATGGTTTCTTGGTGCACTACTGGGGCCGCAGTGAGTCGTGGACGAGACGCCTGTGTGAAAGCCGTCTTGGGGTCTCTTGGGAGACCTTTTGGGGTCCTCTCGGCGGCATTTTGGGACCTCCTGGCGCTTCTCGGGAGCCTCTGGGGGAGGTAGAAGTGGTACGAATCTTCCAGTCCCAGAGGTGCTGCGCCACGGGGACCGCGTCTGCGACCTGGGCGCCTTCGCGGGGCACTACTCCGCGTGGCTGAACGACACCGGTCTCGTGACGGCGCACGCCTACGACGCGGCCCGCCCGGGAGCAACGACAGGGCCTATGTCGATCCGAGCGATGATCCAGTTCGGTATCGGTTTCGGCCAGCCCGATCAGATTCGATTCCGAGGAGCCCTTGCGAGGAGGGTGGGGACATCGGCTCCCGATTCTTGGGTATCCCTTTCGAGAGGGCTAGGGAGCATCGACCTCCGATCTCCCCCATCCTTTCTCGTTGTGTAGAAATCACGACGCCAGGTTTTAGGCAAGTTCGGCCTTCAGGGGCTGGGGCTCTCACCTGGCCCCGGGACCTTGAAACATCTGCTCAGGATGAAAAGCGGGTCCTTGGGAAGCGGTCGAGATCTCTAGGGTCAAGTCGGGCATGTTTTTCTACAGGAGGACTCGTCCAGAATAGTAGACAGATAGTCTGGTGACGATGTTCGTTTTTCTTTCTGATTTTCTTGATTTTTGTTTTATTTTCTTATTGAGTCGTTTCGCTCATTCCGCTGGCCCATATTGCGCGCCGTTGTCGACTGACCGAGTGGTCTTTCGCGGTGCGGAGCTGGAGGGGCGGCGGCTGTTTTTATCAGAGTTTGCGTTCGGCATGTGAGGCTTCTTGGTGGCCGCTGGGGGAGTCTTGAACGCGTCGCGGGCCGTCTGGAAGCGTTCAGCCTATGGGAACTCTTTCGGGAGGCCTGTTGGTGACCTTTTGGGGACTGTTAAACGCGTCGGGTCGTTGTCACTTGCGTGCGTGCTCGGGGGAGCATTTGGGGGGCCGCCTGGGGCCGCTTGGGGGCCTCTTGGGGGCCTCCTGAGGGCCTGTTGGGGGCCTCTTGGGGCCACTGAGGGGCCTCTTGGGGACTCCTGGGGTCTTCTGAGGGCCGAGGGCTCGAAATGTTGTTTCGTGTTCCCCCCCTGGGACCTCTCTTGGGGCGTTCTTGGGGCTTTCTTGGACCGTCTTGGAGGCCTCTTTGGCTGTCTTTGAGCCCTCTTGGGTTGTCTTTGGGCCCTCTTTGTAAGCCGAAAAGGTAGAAACGCCCAAATCTGTCCAAAACCTAAGGAAAAGCAATGATGTTTGCCTCTTGGTGCCCTCTTGAGAGTGCTTTGGGAGACCTCTTGGGCCGTCTGGAGGCCATCTTGGGCGTCTTGGAGCGATCTTGTGGCTCTCGGAGCTCTCTTGTATCATCGTAAGGGGCTCTTGGCAGCCTCTTGGCCTTTCTTGGGGGCTCTCTGGACGGCCTCGAGGGCGGCGCCCTGGAGGAAAACCATCTCTGATCCGAGTCTCCCGGGACCTGCCTGGGGTACTTTTCGTCCGGGGACCCCAAGGGGCCGCCCCGCGCGCGCGAAGTCGAATTATTATAGAGCAGTTACTGGAGATCTTAGCACGCCTCTGGCCCGTTGGGCCGGCGAGTTTTTCTTCAAGCTCCGCCTGTATGAGGACATGCCCGACCCAATTCTGGGGGTCGATGGCGTGGAACAGTCGTGACGCCAGAGATTTGGCTTGGTGAAAAGAGGGCGCGCCTCCACCCCGCCTGGAGGGCAGCGCAACAAGAAGTATGTTCCATCCCCACCTGTCCCTCTCTGGGCGTCCCAGATGGGGTCCGAGCAGATGGGGTCGGCGGATCGCGCCGTATCGCCGATGCATCGGCGATGCGGCTCGATGCGGAGCCCAATTTCCTCCACGCCGACGGCGCCGATGCCTTGCCGAGGTCGCCGATACAACGCCGAGACGGCGCGATCCTTCGACTCCATCTACTCGGACCCCATCTAGGCCTCTACCCTCTCCCCTGACGAGGGGGTCAGGTTTTCGAGCGTTTTTGTCGATTCTGAAGTGCTCCGTCAGGGGCTGGGCCGTCTGGGAATCCGATCGCGAGGATGTTCCACAGAGGCGGCGCAACAAAGAGTATATGTCCCTCCCCACCTGCCCATCTGCTCTGAAGAGAGAGAGAGTCAGGTTTTTGGACGTTCTTTTCGTCGATTCAGAAATGCTCTTTTTCTCGGGATGTTTGCCAGCAGCTTCGCCGAGAACGTGCGTTCCAGGGTTGCCGGGGGAATCGTCCCGATCGACGGCCAGAGGCTGGAACTTCGGCTCGGAAAGGCCAGAGATGCAGATCATCATTGATGCGGCGCCCCTTCGACCTGCACTCGGGGGCCACGACAGCAGGTTAGGTTGCATATATTCGGGGGACTTCGTCTGCCCCCCAAGTTGGTGTCTCTTCTTGTGCCCGACGCGGGTTCGATGCGGACTCAGCGTGGATTGGGCATGGGTTCGACGCGAGTTTGACACGGAAGCGATGCGGATTCGACGAGTGCGACATGGATTCCATACGGATTCGACGCGGGATTTAGATCATCGTGGATGAGGCTATCCCTCGATTGTACTCAGGGGCAAGGACAGCAAGGGGGGTTGGCCCAGTCGGACGGGGCGAGGACG